GGTAATATTAGTAGGTTCAGCTGTAGGTAAATATTCTTAGACTCTGCTGTAACTTACAGCAAGCAGCAGGGCACTTTTTCAAAGAGATGCTGAGTAAGCAATTGAGAAAAGCTGAACAAATCTGACTTGTAACAATGGCTGTGCCACTTGCATTGTCCATACCTCAGTGTTGATGCACACACTAGCTGGAGGCAACCTGAAGGCAGCAGGGAGGAGGTGACACAGCAGCACCATGGCCAGCCCCAGGCTGGGGGATGGAGCTTCACACTGGATGGGAGGTGAGTCCTGCAGGGGCCCATCGAGGGAACTGCAGGAAGAGGGAGACAAAAGAAAGATCTTACCCCAGCAGCACTGGTGACCAACACACCACCAGCACCCCAGTTCCCAGCAAGGGCACAAGGGCCCAGACTCCCCTACAGCCCCATGCAAGACCTGCTCACATGTGGCCTCCCAGCAGCTCTGCTCATCTGCAGGTGGTATAGAGCTAATTGAACCTATGGGTAGGTGCTGATTAATAAAGCTACAACCCAGGTGCCCGTGGCCAGAGCGTGTCCCTGCATGTGGGCTGCCAAGTGTCACAGCTACTCATGCTCTCTGTGGGGAGTCTCAGCCAGCCCAGAGACCCAGCTGGCGAGCAGACCCAAGCTGTTCCTCTCAGCCAGTGCCATGCCGTGGGTGGCAGAGCCCTCTCTTGGTGTGCAACACCCTCTGCCACCTCATGGTGCTGGCCAGTGGAACACCCTGCTGATCAGACTGAGCTGTGAGAATCAGCAGCAGTGAGCAACAAAAGCAAACAGGTCAATAAAGCCAAGGAATCTTTGGGGACGAGGGACTACTTCTGAAGACCAGCCTGCAACAGGTTTTAGTTTTAGGTTGTCGTTGTTAGTTCCAGTGTTTGAGATCAGCTTTGTGAGAGCATTTTTCAGAATCAAAAGCTTCAGGAAAAATAGGCAAGTCTAACAACAGGCTTGAGACCACTTCCCCTGTTCATACAGTGTGAGATTATGAAAGGGTTCAGGGTCTCCAGTAGGTTCTTTCACTTGTGACAAACACTGAAGAATGAAGCAAGCTTCAAAACAAAACCCTTAAATTGTCTGTTAACTTCAGTCTGTAGGATTTATACACCGAAAAATTAATTTGACATAATATCTTGTTTGAGGATTGTAAGAATCCACGATAAAACTGCTTTTTTTTTTTTTTTTTATTTGGCAGCAAAGTTAGGTGACAATTAGGAGCTTGATTTAGGTGTAGTGGAAACATTTTTAGAAGAATTTCTCTCCACTGACCGTATAGGGGGTCTAATATAGCCCATCAAGTAAGGTAGTGTGAGCACACACAGCAGCCATTAATTCTGAGGCTGAGATTCTAACTCTTAGATCATTGGAACAGCTTATTAGGAAAGGAAGAGAAAAATATCTATTGATCCTATGGAATAAAGACCCTGATCAGTCCCTCATGCAGAGAAGAGCTTACGAGGAAAACAGGCTAAAGCTTTTTGCTTTTCACTGTCTCACCCCAGACCTGAGATGTAACTCAGAGGCTGTGATTCCCTTGATGTCCATCAAGGAATGGCAGCATCTAAAGCAAGACATCTCCATCAGGCTTTGGGCATTTTAATATCTTTTAAGGATACTAAGGACTGAATGCAGGAAAGACATCCCTCTATTTGCTTCACTCGTTCAATAGGATGAGATACTCCAGAATCCTCCAAAGGATTCAAGGGCAGGCAGGGGGTTGCCCTTTCTTAGGAGCCTCCTCAGGGGTTCTCAGGTGTCTGATAAGGTTCTTTCTTGCTTTGTCTGCTCTCCTTTGCTTCCTATCTCCTGTGTGGTTTCTTTGATGTCTAAGAAGCATCTAAAAGGTGCTCAGTGCAGCTTCAGTTTAATTCTAAAAGTCACAGGAATCAGCCACAAGGGAGTAAGGTGATAAGAAATCAGGTCCTATCAGGCTTTTCTGAAGCTGAATTCCAAAAAGTAAGTAAATGTTGTTTTAAAAGAAGGTCAGATTCACTATATAGACTAAGTCACAGTCTTATGAGAGGGATCAAAATAAACCCCACAGCTCTAAAGACCAGATTAGAGAAAAATAGAGTCAATCAAAATATAAGGATAGCAACTCAGAGCAAGTTGACAGCAAGTGCAGGTAATTCTGACTAAAAGTGTAAGCTGTATCCAAAAGCTGCACTTTTTGTTCAGGGACAGAAACCATAAAAGAAATTTAATGATGGAGAAACATAAAGGGATGAACCTTTAAACTGTCCTTGATTCAAAGAGGTTAGCTAAATGAAAAAAGGACAATCTGAAAACCCTTTTATAAAACTACAGCTGTGGGTTGTGAAACCTTGACTTCAGCTCCTAGGAGGATCCTCCACAATTTCAACATCTCTGCACATCTCACAGAGTTAGAAGACCAACATCTGACGACCCATTTTTAGAAAAAAGAGAACTGCTCCTTGATTTTTTTTAAAATGAAAAAAAAAAAAAGATTTGTTTGTTAGAAGTTTTCAAACTGATGCATCCTTCTTCATGCAGGAAGAGGTGGTTCTGACCTTCTTCTCGTGACTGACAAGTCGGTTAAGTGTTACTCTTGATGTAATAATCCAAACCTTCACTTGCACCGTCAGGCACCTGGTAAGTCATCTTCACTGCTTCTTTTTTTTTTTAACATTTAGTAGTTGCTTAGGTAGTCTAATGCCTGAGGTGAAAAATACTTGTGGAATCTTGCTAGTGCACTCATCTTTAGAAATGACCCTGGGGAAAATCCACGGGACGTTAAACGGAATACGCTGTTCTTTAAAGGACAGAATCACCAGAAGGCTTGAGCCAAGGATCCAAGTGAGCAAAGACATCAGTCTCTAGGGATTGATCTGAGTGAGAAATAGAACAGACTGTCTCTTTGATTTTTTTCTCTGAGGATGATATATAGTGATGGAAATCTGGATTTTAAAACTGTTACTGCAAAGACAAAACAACTTGTTTGAGTGAAGAGTACTCATTCTTCTCACAGGATGACTACAGCAAACCTGACGTAGTGTTTTAAACACTCTGTCTCATGGGACCTGTTTAAACACAGCACAGCTTAGCATTTTACCTCCACTTATGACACCTTTTTAATTGTTACCCTTTTATAGCACTCTGCAAATGAACTGAAACTCACTTTAATCAAACCTTTGCCTCTTTAAAACCAGAGAGCTCTGACCCGAAACTCGGCATGAAACAGGGAGAGGAGTTTGCTCAGCTTTTCTGCAGAGAGCTTTTCTCCTGGTAACTGCATGGCTGCCAGTCTCTACCAGAGCAGCAGAATTTTTATAGACCATTGCAGGTTTCCAGAAATATTGCGTTTATCTAAACTGTATTGAGAAGACTATAGACCTCTTTTTGAAGTAGCCTTTCTTCAGAGATCTTCTGGGATTATCTTTGTGTTGTTTTTTTTTCCCGAATGCACAGGAAATATAAGCCCAGTCAGATTATCTCTAATTAGGCACACAGAGCAGGTCAATTAACCCAGTGAAGCATTCTAGCCAGTGGCCACCACGGTTTGCTAAAACAGTGGGGGGGTAGGATAAAGCACACAACCAATTCCTTTTTCTGGTTTCCAGCTGAGCCTCTGTAGCTGCCAGTGTCGGGGTGTGCTGCCAGGACCCACAGCCAGGGCACTAGGGCCTCCTGCAGAGACCTCTGTGAGCCAGAGGCTGGGCTTGAGGAACGGGGGCCGTTAGCGGAAGGAACTGCTCAGGGGGGAGACCACAAGTGAAGCATGCAAGAAGGGTTGAAAGGAAGAAGATAAGATGCAGGGAACATGTGGTTGTCATTCTAAGACAGGGGAGGATAAGGAGGGAAGGCACTGAGATAGCAGTTAGCAAGAAGAAGGGGCTGTGACAGAAAGAATTTCCCCAGTAGTAGGGAGGCCGCATTTCGCAGCGGTGTTTGCACGAATCCCATCAATCCCATCTCACCCAGTCCCACCCTGGGTCTGTCACCCCCGTGATTTTCACACCACGTTTATGCATGAGCATCATGCAGGTGCACAATGGCCACGACGGGACGTGCTGGGTCTGGCCTCGTGCTGCAGCCAGTCCCTCACCCCACGCCCAGCAGCAGACATGGGGATATTTTGCTATGGGCAGTAGCAGGGGCTTGTGCTGTCAGACACAGAACACAGATCTAGCAGACCTAGCTGAAAGGAATATTAAACACCTGTGCAGTGCCCAAGTCTTGTCATCTTTTGAAATAAAGGAGTTAATGTTTCAGGCCAAAGAGTGTTTAATAAAAGTGATTTTTTTTTTTCTGAAAGTACTTAAGAAATATAAACCCTTAGGTAATTTAAAACCAGCTTAGTTACTGTCAGTACACCTGAGCCACAGCCACTTCCTTTACCAACAAAACCATCATCTCAGTGTTGTAATGACTATGCAGATAGTACAGCTATGCAAAGAAAAGTTTCACAGAGAGCACCAGAGCTTCCTGAAAGCTGGTCTTTAAAAAGTTTGACAGCACTTCTTTTCTCCCCAAGAAACAGTATCTAGGCAAAGCTGAGATGCAAACTTTAAAACTCAACAATTTTCTCTTATTCCTTGTTTTCTAGAAGAAAACTTCATGCCATATTCAACATGCCAAAGAAATGTCTGAACATGGATGTTCCCAGATTTGATACTGTTAGGAACAGTTGACAGCCAGACTCGGGAAGAACTTGGGGAGGGTGTGGTGAAAAAGGTTTGCAAAAGCAGCACCTCTTTTTCTTTAAAAGGTGCAGATTTTGTCCCAGTGAAGCTTCCTCCTTTTGGCAGATTCACAGCAGCACTGTGCAGTGTAAGAATCTCCCTCAGGAACTGGCAGCTCGTGACATACCCAGACCCTCATCTTTAAGGTCACAGGAGAGTGTTCCAAACGAGGACACGAGCATGTTTCATTCTCACTGCTGAGCTGGGGCTTCCTCTGCTTTAACACACTTTTCTTCCTCTGCTTTAACACATATTTTCTTCCTCTCCAGACAAACACACCATGGAAAACCAAACCACAAACTTCATTGATTTGGCATCAACAACAGAATTTGACTACGGCGACTCAACACCATGCCCAGGGACAGAGGAAAAGCACTTTGCAGCACAACTCCTGCCACCCCTCTATTCTTTGGTGGTGATATTTGGCCTCACAGGCAACCTGCTCGTTGTCCTCATCCTGGTAAAATACAAGAGGCTGAAGAGCATGACAGACATCTACCTGCTCAATCTGGCAATTTCTGATTTGCTGTTTATATTTTCTCTCCCCTTTTGGGCTTATTACGCTGCTCACGACTGGATTTTTGGGGATGCACTGTGCAAAATGCTCTCGGGTGTCTACCTGCTTGGCTTCTACAGCGGCATCTTCTTCATCATCCTGCTGACCCTGGACAGGTACCTGGCCATCGTGCACGCAGTGTTTGCTCTGAAAGCCAGGACAGTCACCTACGGCCTCCTCACCAGCACTGTCACCTGGGCTGTGGCTCTTTTTGCCTCTGTTCCTGGGATCATATTCCACAGAACTCAGAAGGAGAATTCACGTTACACTTGCAGTGCTCATTATCCACCAGAGCAGAGAGAAGTATGGAAGCAGTTCCTGACCTTAAAGATGAACATCCTGGGACTTGTTATTCCAATGCTAATTATGATCTGCAGCTACGCACAAATTATAAAGACATTGCTGCAGTGTAGGAATGAGAAGAAACACAAAGCAGTCAGGCTCATTTTTATCATCATGATTGTCTACCTTGTCTTCTGGGCACCATACAACATCTGCATCCTCTTGCGCGACTTCCAAGGCACATTTTCTATCACTACCTGTGAAGGTGGCAGTCAGCTGCACAAAGCCACCCAAGTGACAGAAACAATCTCCATGGTCCACTGTTGCATCAACCCTGTCATTTATGCCTTTGCTGGAGAAAAATTTAGGAAGTATCTCCGTGCCTTTTTCCGCAAGCAGATTGCAGTGCACTTCTCCAAATACTGCCCCGTGTTCTACGTCGACCCCGCTGAACGAGCCAGCTCCACCTACACACAATCCACGGGAGAACAAGAGGTCTCTGCTGCACTGTAAGGTGTGTCCAGTGAGAAAGTGGCACTGACTTTTGTGAAAGCAAGGCTGTGATGAAAGCCAGCAGGATCTGCCCTGGATGTGGGCTCCAGGGCAGCTGCCAAAGATGACAGAACACAGACTTACCCAAGCTGGTACGTGCTCACCCATGTGGGTATTTGTACATAAATGAAAAGGATGGATCAGATTAGCCACCTAC